CCGAACCGGGCTAATATGGTCGTACTTCCTGGTTCTAGTAAGAACTCTAGCTACTGCATTTTGGACCAGCTGGAGTTTGTTTATTAAGCGTGCAGAGCAAACACCCAATAAAGCATTTCAATAATCTAACCTTGAGGTCCAGAACGCATGAATTAATGTTTCTGCATTTGACATTGAGAGCTTAGGTTCATAATTTAGATATATTTTTAAGATGTAAAAATGTGATTTTACAAATGCTAGAAACATGGTTTTCAAAGGAAAAATTGCTATCAAACAGCACACCTCGTTTCCTAACTGATGACGAAGAACTGACAGAGCAGCCATCAAGTGTTAGACAGTGTTCTAGGTTATTACATGCAAAGGTTTTAGGTCCTATAATTAACACCTCTGTTTTTTTTCCAGAATTTAGCAGTAAGAAATTACTCGTCATCCAGTTTTTTTCGACTATGCATTTCATTAGTTTTTCAAATTGGTATGTTTCGCCAGGCTGCGAAGAAATATAGAGATGAGTGTCATCAGCATAACAGTGAAAGCTAACACCGTGTTTCCTGATGATATCTCCCAAGGGTAACATGTAAAGCGTGAGGAGTAATGGCCCTAGTACTGAGCCTTGAGGTACTCCATACTAAACTTGTGATCGATATGATACCTCTTCATTCACTGCTTCGAATTGATGGCGGTCAGATAAGTACGATTTAAACCATGCTAATGGACTTCCACTAATGCCAACAAAATTTTGTAGTCTATTCAAAAGAATGTTGTGGTCGATGGTGCTAAGATCCAGTAGCACTAATAGAGAGATACAACCATGATCAGATGATAAGAGCAGGTCATTTGTAACTCTAATGAGAGCAGTCTCAGTACTATGATACAGTCTAAATCCTGACTGGAAATCTGACCTGACCTGACCATTTTTCTCTAAGAAGGAATATAATTGTGAGGATGCTACCTCTTCTAGTATCTTTGACAGAAAAGGAAGATTTGAGATCGGTCTGTAATTAACTAGATATTTGGGGTCAAGTTGTGTTTATTTTAATGAGAGGCTTAATAACAGCCAGTTTGAAGGTTTTGGGGACATCCTAATGACAATGACAAATATCTCTAATAGTATCGATCTTGGAAGTAAAGTAGTTCATAAAGTCATTACTGCTGTGCTGTTGGGAAATGTCAACGCCTGTTGGTGCTTTATTTTTCGTTATTTTAGCCACTATATTGAATAAATACCTGGGATTATGTTTGTTTTCTTCTAAAAGAGACAGAAAGTAATCAGATCTAGCAGTTGTTAATGCTTTTCTGTAGGATAGGGTACTTTCCCTCCATGCAACACGAAATACCTCTAGTTTTGTTTTCCTCCAGCTGCGCTCCATTTTCCGGGCTGCTCTCTTTAGGGTGCAAGTGTGCTCATTATACCACAGTGTCAGACTGTTTTCCTTAATCTTCCTTAAGCGTAAAGGAGCAACCATATCTAAAATGCTAGAAAAGAGAGAGTCCATAGTTTCTGTTACATCATCAAGTTGTTCTGAGGTATTGGAAATGCTAGGGAATTGAGATAAATCAGGAAGATTACTTACAAAGCAGTCTTTTGTGGTAGAAGTGATGGTTCTACCATACTTGTAACAAGGAGTAGAATTTACAGTTTTAGCTATATGAAGTTTGCA